GGCTTAGGAACCTTGCCGGAATCAGCGAGCTTGAGGTTCTGGCGGTTGGTAGCGGTCCCGGCAGTCTGGCTGAAACTAGGATCTTCATCCTTCGGGTCTGTGAGCCTTGAGGTGATGAATCACAAACAGATCAGAGTTTCAGGCAACCAGCACCGACCATGTTGGCGTATCTCTCTTGGGAATTTGGATCACCCTTTAGACTAAACTACTGACTACATAGTACCACTCTGATCAACTTCATTCTTCTCCCCAAGGATCGATCGACGCGCCAACACGTGCCTGTCAGCCTCCAACCTTGAATCCATGGGCCTATGAAAGTAAGAGGGGAAGTTTACGAGGTCTTATCATCTGTGCGCAAGGCACAAGCTGTCGAGGAGTGGCTTTGACCTTCTTCTGGGCTGGACTATTTGCTCTTTATCTATTCTTTTGAGTCATTGTGTCAGATGCTTTGCTCATGTCTGGCATATCAATGATGCGTCGACTACGTTTGGTCAGTACGCTGTAATATCCGTATTTACGTAATATTGAATAATCATGATGTCGACAGTGAAAGATACGGTTTTGCTACCCCATGGAAGGAACCGATTCGCTTTTTACTCGAAAGAGTCAAGGGGGAAAAACCAAAGCGACAAGAGAAAAAAGGGTGGTGGGTCTTCAGAATGCTTCAGATTATGTGATTCTTTTTTAATTTGACGATTATTTTTTTTCTTTCGGAGGCCCCGTAAGAGGACGTGATACTACTGCACTCTGCATGTATAACAGAAGATAATTATAATCGACGGGCAACTTCAAGAAAATAAAATTTCGGAATGATTGTTCAACAGTGGGACATGGGATAAGGGGTAGGGTCAACAATTCCCCCCTCCCCCCTGCGTCCCCAGAAGACGAGGCAACGAGTGGAACAGGAGGAGCTTCTAGAAAATTTCCCTTGGATTTCCGATTGGGGCATCCCAGATAACACCAGCCCACACCGGACGGAACTAGTGCAAAGACGGTCAGATAATTCTGACGTAGTTCATTCCCCTTTGTCCGGTTGTGGAGCTTCAGCTCCTGTTCACGGCAGGGGTTTGTTTCTACCTTTTTTTCTTTTTTACTTCTTTTTTTTGTCAATCGGGAATTATGGTTGTTGTTGGGGTTAATAAAAAAAAAATTAAAAAAAAGATAGACGAAGATCATCACCTATATATAAGGCTCTGGTAGGCCTCGTCTTCCGATGTTTCTTCCTTTTCTCATTTCAAAGACCTCGAATACCATTGGGCTACACTTCCACACACACTTATAAGAGGCTACTCCTGAAACTGCCAACCACACCGTCCAGGCCAATTACAATACAACTATCAACCACCATCACTACCACCAACACCACCAAATCAACCTCATTCACAATGCCTTCCATCGGTGGCTCTACTGCTCAGTTCCCTCCTTGCCCTGGCCCTCCGCCCACGGGTCCTCTTCCTCCTCTTCCTAAGTAAATCTTGGGCTTTGTGATGAAATGACGACCCGGCGTACTCGAGCGGTTCTTTCACCCCGTCGTGTGAAAACATCAACACGAACCGACTCGTGACGCTCACGAAACGGCGTTGCATTTGGCATATGGATATCACGATTTTCGATTTCGGAACTGCAAAATGGCATTGATCTTCCCCGAACGCATTTTCACATACAACTTTTATTCGACGCTATTTTCTCATATCTTCGCTTCTACCATTTCGGATTTCTTTTCACTCCATTGGGATCTCGACCGGCTTCAGACAGGAGCTGCGCGATGACGTTAATTGCGGGAGTTTATCTTTCTTCACACTCCGATTCTACGGACAGGCGCCGGCGCCACGTTTTCTTCTCCCCTTCTGCAATGGCGCTTTGGCATTGCGACATCAGGCCACCAGTGATTCATGCGGTCATTTGATTTGACCGACGGGGCGTCATGCAAGGCAGGCACCTGACAACAAATATGATATCAAAGTTATCGGGGTTTGCGATCTCCGACCCACGTTGTCACTTATCTCTCACATCGGTGGTTTCCAACGGCGCGTTATCGGTACAAACCCCGCAAAGCTATGGGACACCAAGGAGGCGTTTGGAGGCTTAGAGCCTGACAACATCTCACGCCTCAGCCAACCAGACGCCACTACGAAGCATGGGATTTACTTGACCATCGTCGATGTCAAAGCGTTATTGGAATCCCCGTTCTGATTTGCGGGAACTTTTCCTCGAAGCTTATTTAATTATGGGTCTTTTTTTTCTCTTTTCTGTACCATCTCTTGCCTACTTTCTTTTTTTATTGGGGCTTTTAATTTCATCTGAAGCAACGGCATGTATAATAGACTTAATATACCCAACACATATTGCATTCTTGCAAGCGTTTTGAACCAAACAATGAGATCAATTTATTCTCCTAGACCGAATCTCCACTCTTCCTCGCTACCAGCGCTTAATTGTCTCACGATGACTGCATAGTCTGCACTCACGATGTGACTCCGACTCATGCCGTTTATGGAGTCGGCCGAATTACCCGCAGGGATCTTGAGTCGATAGCGCCGTTATTCCCTGTTCACAATCGCGACTATCGATCAATCCTTGCAAGGCGGCTGGCGGGTGTAACTTGCGACAATCCTTGTTTTTTTTCTTTTTTTTTTTTCTCTCGTCTGTACTTTTTCCCCTCGTTTGC